GAGGGGAAAGAGGAGGGGAAAGAGGAGGGGAAAGAGGAGGGGAAAGAGGAGGGGAAAGAGGAGGGGAAAGAGGAGGGGAAAGAGGAGGGGAAAGAAGAGGGGAAAGAAGAGGGGAAAGAAGAGGGGAAAGAAAGACCAAAGAAACACTCTGCTATACCTGAGCTCTCTGGCGATCTCGGTTTGCTGGGAATCCTCCAGGATCTCAGGTAAACTGGTGATAATGTCATGCTGAATTGGTACAGGAGAGATGCTAAGCATCTGCATTAGCTTCTTAACGAGATCCTGCACACAAGAGGAACAGCTCTTGGTRTAAAACACATGGTTCTTACTGACCACAAGCAGTTCGGTAACACAGCAACGAGATCACGCATGCCAGGTCCTTCAGAGAGTCGCTTGCTTCGATTTACACCAACTGTCTCTTAACTCATTGTCTTGCTGACTTTTATGGAACAACATCACTTTAGAGACAGGCTATAACCATCTTGCTAAGCACAGGAAACTGGAACACAAGCCAACAACAAGCTTCCCGACATCTACTGCGACTTCTTAATTCAGTTTATTCTACAACTATCGTTAGAACAGCCATTCAGTACAGAGCAATCCACAGAGATGGACTTGGGATGGCAAAGGAGCAAAAGACCCACCAAATCAGCAACACAGGATTAATCCCTATACGCCTATAAATATCTGATATCTCTTGATAAAAATAAATGATAAGACTGTAGTTTTCTACCAACAAACTGTTGCAGAACCATCAGTTCTCATCAGCATCAACACAGATCTCATCCCACCTGAGAGCAGCCCCAGGCACTAACTAGAAAGATATACAGGTGGCAGTGCCATCAGTACCCACCTGGCTGTCAACAAGCTTGTCAAGCCACTTAAACTGATTGACAATGAGCCGGGGATAATTCGTTCCAAAGGTGCCCACACTGAAATTCCAGAAAGAGAGGAAACAAGTTAGTTCAATTCACACACAGACTCAGAAGTTTTCCTGCTGGTAAGACCAAGAGACAGAAGGTTCAAGTCAACCTTTCAAAAATACAAGTTAACTTTCAAAACTACATTACAAAAATACCATTAAGAACCCCTAAAACTGTTGGAACCATGTGGAAAGAGCCTGATTTCTTACATGCTTCACATATAAAGCACTTTTCCATTTTGTTAACTCCTTTCCTAATGTCTCTGTTGGCTGTTTTGACCACTGGTAAACACAGAATTGATACTAAAAATAAGAAACAAAAATAAACGCCTATCCAAGATGTCTTTCTTCAGTGATAACTCCTTAAAATAGAATTCATCGTTGTATTTATGCATTCCAAGTTATTCTTAGTCTGTTTTTCTAAGAAAGCAGGAGTTAGGCAGCTGCATTGTCTAAGCTGTCCTCCCTCTTCAGCAACTTTGGGATGCACCAGTCTATGAACATACATGTCTTCAGTGAACTGGATGAGCTGGCCAAACAGCGTGAATAAACCAAATTCTCTTTTTCCTACAATAATTTGTATTTCACCTGTCCAGGCATCACTGTCACACCACTTGCTCATTTCTAAGACTTATTTAAGGATTCGCAGCACAATTAACAGCTTATCACTGGTAAGGATGTTTAGTACTCTTGGGTGAAAACAATTCATTCCTTGTTATCATTTGTTTGCCTTAAACCCTCCTCTACTGAAATTTCAACATGAGACAATTTCTCAGGCTCAGCCTCTGTAGGAAGTTGTATCTCCTCTATGTATCTCCTGTATCAGGAAGAGCTTCTGCTCTTTTGCTACCTTAATCTACTCCACTAACTGTGTACCAAGTTTTCTGCCCCTAGGGCAAACAAAAAAGAGCTCATTGTTTAAGTTCTACCCATGCTGTGCCTCAAAATCTCTGCTCTGCTGTCCTACTTTTGACAATGGSTGCCTTTTTCTATTTCCTTGCTCGATTACAACCTGCCTTTTTGGAAAGATCCGTCTCATGTGTCTAATGGCAGCCTGTGACAACTATTTTGACCTTTCTGAAACTCTGAAACACTCCAGAGACCCTTTGCTGAAATACTTCCAAAGTTCACGTCGGTAGCTAATAAAAGCAGAGCAAATCATGAAGTACTGTGGTATTYGAGTTTCCTTTTCTTTCCAGGTATATGCATCCCAATTTTAAAGATAGGGAACCTTGCAAATCATTGTATACATATACACAAGGAAAGGAAGGAAAAAAAAACAAGAATAACCATCCATTTAATTAAATTTGAAGTAATGGTTAGAGTTAGACAACAGCCGGCAATTGTCCAACAGGAATTTCATTTCAAGGCAGAGAGAAGACACGTCATACTCACACATCAAAGAAGAACTCGGGGATCTTTTCCAACAGTAGCGTTACAACAGCAGGCTAGAGGAAAGACAGCATTAGGATGAAGAGTTGTTACTTGTGGCCATTGCTCAGACCACTGCCATCAAAAACTAACTTGCTTGTCACAATAGGGGAAATATACCTGGAGAATAAGAGACTCAGAAGCACAAATACAAATATTTTCCGTATAAGCAATCTCTTCCTTAATGTTGGCAAGGAGAGACAGAGCCCACAGGCTGAAAGCAACTCGTGAGTGGAATGGACTAGCCACGTAACCGAATAAAAGCAAAGCATTTGGACAGGACATAGGATTCTCTAGGCCAAACAAATTTTGGCTCTTCAAACCCATCTCATCTGAGTTGCTCTTCATCATCAGAACTCTAAAGCATCAAGTTTAGACAAGTCTGGAGGCAGCATCCATATACGCCTACCCTTCCCTTTGAAGGTCTGATTCACCCTGAAGGCCTTTCATGCTGGCCCAATAAAATTTAAAAATATATATTTAAGGCAAAAACTTTTAAAACATATTAAGTGCAAGAGGATTTAAATCCACAGCCCCTTGCCATACCTTGATATTTACTGCCTTCAGCTCCAGACATATCTTGGTGTAATTTTTATGCAGCTTAACAAAATTTGTTCTTGCCAGCAATACTTTGCAACAAAAACATACTATTTAAGGACTACTCCATTGCCTTTTGCTTCACTTGTATGGTTCTTTTATGGAGAACATGTATCAACTGCTAGGAAAGTCAGGAGAATCAGAGCTTCAGCTGTTACAGGATTGGACATGGTTGTTTTTGGAGCTAGGTTTGGGAAASGGCAAAAGAAGGGATAAGACAGATGCAGCTGAAGAAGAGATGGTGAATCTTCCTATTGCTCTTATGTCTTCTGTGCAAGGACCAGTCTTTGTGCTCCTTCTCCCCTACCTTGGCTATTCTAGTGCTCCAAGACACGGCAAAGAAATGGAGAGAAGAAAGGAACTAGAGTCCTTTCCCTTCACATCTTCCAATAATCCTAGCAGTGACAAAAAGCAATCACTGTTTCAAGGGGAAGATAGTCTGAGCTCCCTACTACACCCAAGGAAGCCCTAAGCCTCAGGCCCCGAGCAAATCTTTAAGAAACAAAAAAATGGACACTTCTCCACATGAAGCCTCATCTWCCTCACAATGAGTTTTATTAGTCCTCTACTGTACAAGAATCCTGCAAGAGTCCCTAAGCAAATCRTCACCACTGTAATGAACAAACTAAGGTGTCCATACCTGTAAGATCTCAATTCCAAGAAGTAGCTTAATAAGGCTTTCACAATATGAGTGCACCAGAGTCCTGCAAGACAAAATATTGTAATCAAAACATATGATGAGATTAGATCGTTTTCTTTCCGTAACTTTTTAATCTACTTACAATGACTTCCTTTATACACCAAACCATCCCCAAGCCCAAAAGATAAAATAATATATGAGGAGTGAGAGTAAATGGTCATTACTACATAACTGCAAGGCATAACACCACTTCCAAGACTTATAAGCACTGAATTGTCTTAGAAATGGAACAGGGAAATTGCCATTCCCTCCAACTCTGCTCAACAAAACACAACATTCAGGTCGAGAGAGGTTCTGCCTAAAGGACGTCCTGCATGGTCCCTAACCTTGACCCCTCGTTCCGTGTGGGAGCGCATGGCAAGAGGCAGTTCTTGAATTGGTTTCGGTCCTTAATATGCAATTCCAAGCCACTGATAAACTCCTGCACCACCTGCAAAGAACAGAGAAGTTASCCACTGCCTGAAAAAACAGCACAGATCAGCTGCTGCCTTTCAGGATGCTCTCTATGGGCAGATGATGAGTAGAGGGAGGAAGATAGGAACAGTGAGCAGTTTGGTATAAAAACGCTSCAGGTCAGTTTTTACTGACTGCAGGTCAGTAAAAATGGTAATGGACTGAACATTAGATAAACTCCAGTCCAAAAGGAAATGCTGGTTGCTCTGCACAATAATTTTGAAGAAAAAAATCTCAAATTTTACTTTGACTTAAAGGGGTTTTGCCACAACTGTCTTCTTCATATTCAGCCAACACCTCATTTAGCATGCAAAGAGCTGCATCCAAAAGTATCACCATTAGAATCACCAATCCCAGGATTTTCCACACTGGCTTTGTMAATTGGAGAAGAGCACTAGGCTCTGGTGATCTGTTAAGTTCCAGCTAACACAAAAAACAAACACAACTTTCACTAAAAAGTTATGGATGAGATTTCTCTCCCGTAAGAGTTTTTGTCTTTTGAATTACATTGCCAAGGCATTCCTTTGCTTGACCACAGAGATGAAAATGCAGCATTTGCTCCTAGGATTGCTCAGAAACAGTCCTGGAGTGCACACACCAAGTAGCACGGGCTGCTCATCTCTTTTCACGTCTGACTATTCAGCTCTAATAGCTCCACACAGACAGAAAAATGATGCAATCAAAGGGCTGGCGAGGCAAGGCTAGGAGGATTAGTAAGGCTGGACCCCAGAACAAGCTACAGTGGTGTATAAATTTGTTCAGATCAGGGAAAGGCAGCACATTTTCACTTTTTGCTACGCAGAAAATAATTTTTAAAGTTGGCTCCTGCCAAAAAATGTTTTCTGTTACATACGTGTGGGTAGGTAGGATGCTTCTTCAGGGAAAGGGTGAGCTTCTTTTGGAAAGCCGTCTGATCTACAGCTGAAGAGAAAATTCAAAAAGAGAGTAAGGAACCAGACACAGATCTTAGCCATACAGCATCGTAACAGCTACATCAAGTATTAGCTCTCAAGCCCACGCACCAACATTTCTGCATTTGTTCTATCAACACATCCAGTTATCCATTGCCTGGATGGTATCACCACTGCTGTCAGAGCTGAGGCTGACAGCATTAAACAGTGCCCAGACACTAACTTCTACAGATTTTGGCAAATGCAGAAAAATCAAATACAAATACAAAATCCATCCAAAAAGTCAGCAGGAACTAAGCAGATTTTTGCCATGATTTTTGTCAAATGCGCACTGTAACCCATACATACCCAAGATGGCTCAAGGATTTTTATTCTGCAAATAAAACACAACTTTACTTCATAATAATTATTTTTGCAGGTTTTCAGATACAGAAGAGAGTAGTTGTTAAATCTGTACCTATTTCATTCTGTCCCTCCCCAGTTTTCAGTATGATTCCGGATGTTTTAAGGAGCTCTTCAAAGATTCCATCATTCTCTACTCCATCTCGGGCAGAGGCCTTTTCCTTATCAGAGATCCGTGACTTCTTCGTTTCTGACAACATAAGACACRTCGTATCAAAGTACTCTACAACAAAAATGGCAAGGATCTTCCATATAAACAACTAAGTCAAAATTAACCTGCTGTGAAGAAATCATGGGAATACGGGACTTCACTCCACGGAACCAGTCCAGCAAACTGCACTACATGGTTCTACTTGACAGCAATCATTAACTACTTCCAGCGCCAATGTAGAGATCCCATAAAGCATCTACTATGCAGTATAAAACTGCAAAGGAATACTTCATATACATTCCTCTTAGYGACTCAGTCAAGATATACCTCACCGTCAGTGGCTCACTCTTCAGGGAAATAGATATACGGACATGTTATGAACTGCACAGTACCTTGTCCTCTAGCCTGAAGATCAAAAATTTGATCTAGAGTCTTGTACCAGACATATCTCTGACCATTTACTGAAGTGAAAAAAAAAAAAAAGGAAATCTTTTCCCCTCCAGCTTTGCAGAAAGGCTATTTTGGTTAATTTTATTGATAACAGCTTTGATTAAATGGCTTTAATCTGTTGACTCTGAAGGCAGTGAAGCTTAAGATGTTTATCACCGATGGATTGAATAAGAACAGCAGGATTGAAAAAGATGCAGTACCATTCACAGTGTTCTTATTTTATTGTGATGTATAAAAAATAGCATTTAAAGATCAATAACACCATTACATGCCTCTAGTAACATCAAAATTGCCAGTTGGGCCTTCTCCCTGTCTGGGAGCCACTGCTTAGATCACAGAGTTTCCACTTCTGGAAAGATTATATCTTAGTACCTACTTGGCAAGTCGCTCTTTGAATTCTCTCCAGGAACATCAGTTTTGGCTAATTTTCTTTTTGAAACCATAGTGACAAAACCTTTGTTGTTGCCTATAAAAAAATGCAGGAAAAAGACAAGTGAGCAAAGGAGATAGATTTTTTATAGCAATTCTAGAACGAATTAGTGAATAACGAATAGAAACACTCTAGAAGCAAAAATTGTTCAAAGGAAGCTGGATTGCCTGGTCAACCAGTATCACGCCACATTTTTCTGCTGTACAGATTGAGGCTTTGGAACTGTCATACTTAGGCAGGAAAATACATCACTTTTTCTAAAATTCAATTCCTCATCAAAACAAGGCTCTGCATTTCTTCCAACTGCCTGGCAAATTGAGTGGCAAGCTAAGCTCACGAGAGCTGAAACTGCACCCCGAGCCTAAACCTGTGCTCATCTCCTCATGCCCAAAGCCGCAAGCAATCAGGAGCTTCTCACACGTGAGCTTCAGCACCGCGGCAGAGCCCTCACACCTGCAACCACCGGCAGCCTCGGGACCGTCTGTCTGCATAACCCTCCACCTAGCCACCTCCTTGACAGGCGGCAGTGTAAAATACGTACACAAAGAGTTTTACATTTTAAAATGAGTAAAATAAAGGCATCTGATTATCTTATGCTTGATTTTAGCTCTTTTGTAGAGGCTCTGGCGCCCAGGGCTCTCTTACCAGCCCCAGTCTCCACCGACCGGCCTCGGCGGTCACCGGCCCCGGCGGTCACCGGCCCCGGCGGTCACCGGCCCCGGCGGTCACGGCTGCTTCCCGAGCCACACGGAGAGCTGACCCCGGCCGCCCGGTGACCGCAGCGGAGCCCCCGCACACCTCCGTGCCCCTGCCGGGACAGTCAACCACCGCCCAGACAGGGAGAGGGGACAGGGGGGCAA